CTCATTGCTATTTGTTTCTCAATAAAATTATGGAAAAAAATCCTCAGTTATCTCACATATTCCTCTAAAGTGCTCCCCTATACCTTATCATTATCTGCTCTTCCCTCCATTTCAGAGAGAGTTCATTGCTGTGTATATTATTTAAGAAGGGTCAGCTCACCACGAGAGGGGCTTCAACAAGAAATCTGAGAAATCTGTGGGGAGGCAGTGGAAACCTAGGCCAAGGAAAGTCACCAGAGATACCAGCTCCCCAGTCTTCCTGCTCTGATATCTTCACATATAACAAAAATCTGATCACTGCATGGTGTTTGACACACCTCTGGGCATGGTGCCATTGTCTAAGAAAGAAGAAAGTCCAAAGGCCAGCTTCTTTTAAAAATGTATTTATTTTTTATTCATAAAGTAGAACCACATGCCTGTCATCCCAGCACTGGGGGTGGATGAGGCTGGAGGATCATGGTGAATTTGAGGTCAACCAGGACTACAAAAGTGAGTTCAAGGCCAACCTGTACTCCATAGGTGAGACCCTGTCTCAAAAAACAAAACACAGGGCTGGGGAGATAGCTTGGCAGTCTAAACACCTGCCTGGCAAGTGCAGGGACCCAAGTTCAATCTCCAGTACCACATGCTGCGCCGGCCCTGAAACCCCAGGTGCACCACACCACCCTGAAACTGGGCATTGTGGCACATGCCTGTAGTCCTAGCAGTGGGGAGGCTGAGACAGGAGGATCACTACAAGTCAGAAACGCATAGCGAGACCCTGTATCAAATAAATAAATAAAAATTTTTAAAAAGAGTGGACCCTTAGATTCCTTAGCCAAATCTGAGTGACGTGGCCACATACAGCTGCAACAGGCTCCATTGAAGTCAGCATTTTGCTTTTTCAGTCCTGTTAGTACACCCGGAAAGACTTTGGTGGCCAGTTATCAGAGGCTGCACAAATAGGGTGTCCCTTTAGTGTCCTGCCACCCTACTCCTTCATTCTCTCAGTGAATGCAGGGCTGGTTCTTCTCTCCCGCCAGGGCTGGTCCTGACTTATGCTCTCTGCTGCAAATTCTTTCCCCGTCTCCCTCATAGCTGCATCCTTTTCCTCTTCCCCAGCTCTTTCGCATGTTCAGTATGTCTCATATTACTCAATGCGCACGTACACACACACACACACACACGCACGCACACACACACAGCTTCCTCGTCTTCCCATGCTCTGCTCTTCTTGCCCTGCAGTACAGCTTTTGGAGCCATTGTCCATACTTGATGCTTTCCTTGTTCATGCTTCCACACTGCTTGACTTTGCTTTTGGCATCCTCACTGCCACCAAGGAGACGAAGTCCGTTTCAGCCTCTATGTTGAAGATGCTCCTGGATTTATAGAGTTGCTATGTCCTGAACTATCCAGTCAGTGCACTGAACATACCTGACCTGTCAACCGCCGTCGCTGAGCCGCACAGAACATGCTCATCGCTCACCATCCTGACTGCACAGCTTTCTGGGAGCTCTGCTCGCTGCTTGCTGCTGCCCAGCATGGCAAGGGAGGCTCATAGCACACGCCTCTAGCCCGGGAAACACTGGAATGAAGAAATCAAAGTGTAGTTTCTAATGAATGCATATCCCTTTTGGGCCACCATTAAATTGAAAATTTGCAAGCCAAACCATCGTAAACCAGGGCAATCTGCATTTGACCCTGCTAGATAACATCAGTTTTTCTTTTTCTTTTTTAAAATTTAGGACAGGGTCTACAGGGTCTCACCACACAGCTGGGACTCGTACTGATTCTCCTGTTTTCAGCCACCCAAGGGCTGGGATAATAGGGGCGTATCACCAAGCCCAGTCTCAGCCGCCTTCTCAGCGCGCCCTGGGGGCGGAGCCTGCATGGTAAGCCAGCTGCGTCTCCCTAAGCAGGCGCTTTAATCCGCTGAGTTATCTGGCCCGCCCAGCATCGGTTTTTCCATCGGTCCCTGCTTGCATCTCTCTGTGCTCTGCACCTCCTCTTCCCCTGAGCTTCTAACCTCTGCACGAATCTCCACCTTGTCTTCAAGTCACCGTTTGCTTGTCTTCTGGTTTTCTATGTATGTTCCTGTCTCGTTTTGCTTGACATTTTCCTTTCTCTGCTTCTCTGCTGCCCTTTTGGACTCTGCTAACTGGCAGAGTTTTAAAATTTATGAAGCCAGTCAGTCAGAAAGTATGTTGTAGGCCTATTAACACAACCTAAAGGTGGACTGAGTGACAGAATACCCAGCAGAGCTGTAGAAGCCACCTTGGGGCTGTATCTGAGTTCTTCCAGCACACTCTCCCTCCCAGGAGACAGGCTGCTCCGCTGGAGCCCAGCTCAGAGATGCAGAATAATGCTCTCTTGCAGTAATTTTCTGCTTTCTTCATTCTCCTGGACCCAGAGTAAGACAGAACCATTCTTAGCTCTCTTCTGAGTCTCACTGCCAGTACTGAGACGACCTATGCCGTGCTTCTTCGGCATGCATTTATTCCTCTGGACTCCTCGTCTCTGAGCTCTTCCCAGTGCTCCCCAAGTGACACGGTGGCCAGACTCTTCAGCGACTGTTCTCCTGGGCCAGAAGTCTGAGACCTGTAACATGGCTCGGCCTCTGGCTGTGATGCTTTGCAGTCCATGAGTGCTGTGACCTGGGGGACAGTCAGGGTAGCAGACTTGGGTAGTCTCATTAGCTCTTCTCGGCTCAGCATCGTACCTGTAAGATAAGACAGGATACATTTTTCCAAATGAACTTTGTTTTCAGATCAGTGAAATAATATTTCTGAAAGTACATTGTGCTTAATGGGCACACAATAATTTTTGGTTGACTTGATAAAAGCTGTGCCTGGGTTCTTTCACCCGTGGAGTCCACGTTCATTGGGACAGATGGTGAGGTGTTGAGAAGGACCTGCATTAGAGTGGTAGTGTATTTTTCAATATATCTTTATTGTCATTGAAAAGATGGGTTGATTTAAATCCATGAGCTAAAAATACTTTAAGAGCTACCTCACTGCCATTGAAAATACTCATTATTTTGAAAATTAGTAAATAAAAGGATTAATCATTGATCTTGTTTCTTATACTGTATATGGGTTATCTATGCAGTAAATGAAGTGATTTTTTTTTTTTTAAGGTTTTTCAAGACAGGGTTTTTATTATTTATTTATTTGGTTATTTTTTTCATTTTGTGTATTTGTTACAGAATCTCACTATGCAGATCAGACATGTGGTGATCCTCCTGTTTTCAGCCTCCCCAGCGCTGGGATTACAAGCTTGAGTCACCATGCCCAGACTCTCCTGCCCAGACTCTGTTGTAGCCCCTGGGGGGCGGGGCTAGCCTAGTGTGCAGGACCACGGATTGAACCTTGGTCCCTGCGCTTGCCAAAGCAGGTACTTTGTCTGCTGAGTTATCTCACTGGCCCCGTTTGGTCTATTTGAGATGGGGTTTGGCTCTACAGTTCAGGTTGGCCGTGAACTTACTTTGTATCTCAGGCTGACTTTGAATTCCCAGAGATCCTCCTGTCTCAGTATCAAGAGTGCTGAGAATGGGCTGTGGAGGTAGCTCAGTGGCATAAGAGCCTGCCTGGCAAGTATAAGGTTCAGAGTTCAATCCTAGGTACCCCCTCACCTCCAAAAGAATTCTGGGATTACAGGCATGCACCACCACACCCGGTGGGAATTTTCTTTTATAGAAAGACTCCAGCTAATAACTGAAGGAGGAAGTACAGAACTAGAGTATTGCCATGTTACAGCCCTGGATGAATGAGTGATCTGGGCACTCAGCATCAGCAGGCAAGTTTGTGCCTGCTGATGAGGGAGCGCACCACTAGCCATGATGTAGTTCTGCTAATCAAATCAAATCTAAGGCTCAACAGGTGTCTGGATCCAGCTACCCAATGACAGAAAATATCGGGGACAGAGAAAGGTCTTATATGAGACTGTGAAAATCTACACTAAAAGTAGCCAATTTTCTTCAAATAAATTGCAAAGCAAAAGAGAGAAATCGAGAGGAAACTTCATATAAAGCAATTTAAAAGCCAGGTGTGGTGGCACATGCTTGTAACACTAGCACTGGATGAGGCAGGAAGATTATTTCAAGTTTGAGTCCAGCCTGGGTTACAAAATGAGCTCAAGGCTGGCCTGAACTATATAGTGAGACCCTGTCTCAAAAAGATCAACAAAACCAAACCAAACCAAAGAAAAAGTAAGCAACTTAAAAAATCTACTGACCTTTAGTGATGCATGAGTATTACTTAGATTTTGGTTTAAACAAACTTTAAAAACCACCATCTGTAGAAGAGAGCTGGATATTTGGCATTAAACATTTTTTTTGAGGGTTCTCATGATTTTGTTGTTATTCTTTTTTTTTTTTTTTAATTTTTGTATTTGGTATAGGGTCTCACTATGCAGCTCAGACTCATAGTGATCCTCCTGTTTTCAGCCTGCCCTGTTCTGGGATTATAGGCATGCGCCACTATGCCCGGACTCAGTCACTGGTGTGGCATGCAGGACCAGGGACCCTGGTCCCTGCGCTTGCCAAAGCAGGTGCTCAGTTGGCTGAGCTATCTTGCCCGTGCTATGTTACTCTTAAAATCCTTAGAGACATGGTGAATGCTTGCAGTTGAAATGGAAGATTCCTGGGACTGGCTGGCAAAATCATATTGGAAGGAAAGAAAGTTGAGAGGATGAAAATAAAACTAGCTTGGCCATGACAGGAAAATTGTTAGCAGTAAGTTTACTACATTTATTCTGTTTTATTTTAAAAATCATGTTATGATGGTCAATTTCCATCATATACAAATTAAATGCAAGAGTATGATGGGGCCTTGTAACCCTATCACCCAACTCCATCACTGATCAGCACCCTGACACTCGCATTTCATCTGTACTTCTCCCTCACCTCATTCAATAATTATAATTAGGTTTAAAAAATGTAACTATGTTCAAATGCACACATCTTTTAATGAACATAGGCCTATCAAAGCTAAATTATTCCCATCACTCCAGAAGATAAAGCAAAGCCAAGGAAGATTTCCATCAATTTTATAAATTTCCCTGGTCTTCTATCCCAGTCCACGGCTCTGAAAGAGGCCACCACTGTTCTCCATCCCTGCCCCATATTTTTGCTTTGCCTTTCTGGACTTTCATACAATAGAGCCATAAACTATAGACTCTCTTCACATAGGTAAGTTCTCCCTTTCTAAAACTTCACATTCATGAAGTTGTATGTATACTGTCCTGTGTTATCCTTGCTGTGTGGATCAATAGTCTGTTCCTTTTTATTGCTGACTAGTAATCTATTTAATGGATCCACAGTTAGATCTTTATTCGACTGTTGATGGACATTAGACAACTCCCAATTTTTGACTATCCTAAATAACTTGTGATAAACATTCTTTTTCTTTTTGGTACCGGGGATTGAATTCAGGACTCTGTGCTTGCCAGGCAAGCGCTTGTTCTACTGAGCTATCTCCCTGGCCCGTGATGAACATTCTTGTACAAGTATTTTTGTAGCCTATGTTGGGTGTTGTGTTCAGCAACAGAAAAACTGACTAATGCAGGTACCTTGATGTGGTTTCAATATGCACTTACCTTACACGAGTGATATGAAGTCCTTCCATGTGACAATTGATCACATGTGTGACTTTTTTTTTTTTTTTTTTTTTTTGCAGAACCGGGGATTGAATTCAGGCCCTTGTGCTTGCCAGGGAATCGCTTATTCTCCTGAGCCATCTCCCCAGCCCCTAAACTTTAACATTCTATTTTATTATTATTATTATTTTTTTCAGGCCCTTGCGCTTGCTGGGCAAGCACTTATTCTACTGAGCCATCTCCCCAGCCCCACATATGTGACTTTCTTTGTGAAGTGTATATTTAGTCTTTGGGCTTACTTAAAAATTTATAATTTTTATTGAGTTGTAAGAATTCATTGTATATTCTTAATAAAACTCTATGGCTAGGCCCGGTGAGAAAGCCCAGCAGACTAAGTGCTTAGGAAAGTGCAAGAATCGGGGTTTGATCCCTGGTGCCATATGCCATGCCGACCCCACCCCTGGGTACATGGCCACTGAGACCAGGCGTGGTGGCACATGCCTGTAATCCCAGCACTGGGGAGACTCAGAACAGGAGGATCACCACAAGTCCAATCTGCATAGTGAGGCCCTGTACCAAATGCATACATTTTTTTAAAAGTCTATGGCTTAACTACCTATTTTTTATGATTTTTTTGAAGAGCAGTTTTTATTTTTTATTTCATTTTATTTTTAAACCAGCTAGTGCTTTTTAAATATTTTTTCTTAAAAAGTACAGTTCTTTTTCTCCACAGATATAAGCTTCTTTGTCTAGTCTCCTTTCCTTTTTGAGGCACACAACTAGCTAGATTTGGGGGTTATGTCATCAATCCAATTTATTAACTCCTCAATGAGGGAGGAGGAGGGCCCCCTTGTACTGTGGACTCTTTGATCATTTTGATACTTTTTGCCCTCTCCTGTCCCCTCAGCTCTGCCTTGGTTTCCCCAATGACAAGGGGAATCTTCTGCTGTCCCATGTGCTGAAACTAATATCCTACAAGAGACTAGAATCCTCAAGGAGTTCCCCAGTTCCTCCAGGGGACAGTGAGGGACAGAGTTGTCCTAAGAATCAGACATCAGAAGCAGGGCAAGCTGGACCAGGGAGCAGAACAGACCAAAGTCCTTTATTGCAAAGGAAGAAACCACATTGTGGCAGGGAAATAGATAGAGGGGCCTGGGGCAGCAGAGTCCAGGCCCCTGGCGGGCCACTGACAGTAGGAGTGAGGGGTGACTGGGGGGCCCAGCACACCAGCTCCAGGCACCCTGCCACCTCAGCCACTGAGGAAGAGATGCTTGTAGACCTTGTTCATCTGCTCCAAGAAGATGAAGGTGAGGACTGTGTGGGGTCCAGGCGGGCATAGTACGGCGTGAACCCTTCCAGAGGCTGAAGAATCCCTCATAGCACACGACTTTCACCAGCACATCCAGCCCATTCTTGTATTCTGGCTTCCCGTTAATCATTCACATGTTCTGAATCCAGGTCTTGATAACGTCCACAGGCATGGAGGCGGCAGTCGTGACGAGGCCACTGATCACGCTGGCACAGAAGTGGCACGGAATATTATCCAAGGAATAGCCTGGATCCAGTAAGAACTGCTTGCACTGAGAATGTGAAGCCCGCTGGGCAGCACTGACAACAACAGCCTGAGCCATGGCAGGAATGCAGCCCCGTCACAATGTGGGAATTCCCTCTTCTCGGGCAATTCGAATCAGGGCATTAAACACATTTTTGTAGCCACGGCGCTGGTCAGCAGGAAGCCTGCCATCAGCAGTAACTCAAATAAGAGCCACTTCAGATGGTGTTCCCACAATGTGCCAGTTGCACCTGCAGTCATGCCAATCAAGGCCTTTAGCAGAAAGCCAGGGTGTGGACCATCTGTCACAGTCAGGTGCTCAAACAGCACAGTATAGATGCCAAGGCGAGTAGTAGTATAGGTTGCTTGGTTCAACAGGCCAGCAGACAGCCTAGTATAAATGCCCCTTAGGGAGGCTGGTGAGGGCATAGAAGCTGGTTCTGTATTCTCTTGTCTTGGCACCCCTTCCCACTCAACAGCATGCAGTTCTTCACCAGGTCCAAGGGCTGCACAAACATGTAGCTCCCATCTCAGCCAGGCCCCAAACAGGAACTGGATGGATTTAGGGGAGGTACAGGGCTTCCTGGCCATCGTGTCAGCCCTGGGACTCGCCCCTGCTGCCATTACTACTCAGGGGCTCTTGGCTCCAGGTCCCCAGAAGTATTTATTTTTGCGGAACCGGGGATTGAACTCAGACCCTTGCGCTTGCCAGGAAAATGCTTATTCCACTGAGCCATCTCCCCGGCCCCAGAAGTTTTTATTTTGATGGGATTCAATTTCCCATAAAATTTTGTATCAACTCTAAGCTGCGTGAGTGGAGATATGATTAATCTAATAGTGACTTTGAGAATCAATCTAACATACTACCACTCAGGTCCAAGATTGTCACTGGGTAGTGTATATTCAGAATCTATCCAAACAGCATTGCAAAGGCTTTGGAAACTTAAATGACATTTCAACTGTAACTTTCAGAGGATGAATTGAACTGAACCTAAGCCGATCATTTGCTGAAAATAAAAATATGTAATGCTTATGTAGGAGTTAAACAAGGACTAGATTTTAATTACATAATATTCAAAATATCCAGGAAGCAATGCAAAGTTACAAGGCAAATTCAAAATCAGAAAAATCTCAACTCAAATTGGAAAAGACTGAATAGACACCAACACTGAGATTAACACAAACTTTGGACTTGTCTAGCAAATATTTAATGCAGGTTGTTCTGCTGAGCAGACATAGACATTCTTGGAATGATTAGAAAGATAGCATCAGCAAAGGAAAAAAAAAGATATAAAGGAGAATTAAACAGAAAATTTATTTTTAAGAGTGTTTTGGATTTTCATGACAAGGTCTTGTTTTGTAGTTCAAGCTGGTTTTGACCTCACTATGTAGCCCAGGCTGATCTTGAACTCAGAGTGATCCTCCTGCCTCAGCCTCCTGAAGTCAGGCATTACAGGTGTGTACTACTGCACCCAACTGAAACAGAAAGTTTAGAACAAAAAGTAAATAAAAAATGGAAAATATATTAGATGAGTTTGGGAGCAGGATAGATATGACAGAGAAGAGTCTGTGGATTGTGTATAGGATCAATAAACACCATATAGTTTCAAAACACAGAAGAAAGTGATGAACAATGAATACATTTTTAGAGACCTATAGGAAAATTTCCAACAGTTGTATAATATTCATGGCAACATAGTAACAAAGAAGAGAAATATTGAGATTCTGAAAAAGTATTTGAAAAAATAATGACTGATAATGTCCAAAGTGTGATGAAAGACATAAACCTATAGATTCAAAACTCTCAGTGGAGTCAAAGGATAAACTAAGGAAATCTGTGTTCAGAAACATTATAATCGAATTGCTGGAAACTAAAGACAAAGGAAACCCAACAGTGCAGGAGGGCTCTTTTCTCCACAGCCTCTCAAGCATTTTTTGTTGATTGATTTCTTGGTGTTAGCCATTCTTTCTGGGGTGAGATGGATCTCAGTGTTGTTTAAATTTGCCTTTCTTGAATGACCAATGATGTTGAACATTTTTTCATATATTTACTTTCCATTTGTATTTTTTTCTTTGAGAAGTATGTACTCATCTCAGATGCCCATTTTTGGCTTGGGTCTTTGAAGTTGGGGACCCTGATTTTTAAAAACTCTTTGTATGTTCGAGATAGAAGGCCTTTCTTCTTTTTTATATATATTTAGGGTCTACAGGATTTCACTACACAGATGGGACTTGTAGTGATCCTCCTATTTTCAGCCTTCCAAGCGCTGGAATTATAAGCGCAGACCACCACGCCCAGTCTCAGTCACCATCTCAGCGCACCAGGGGGACAGGGCCAACATGGCATGCCAGGGATGGAACTCTGGTCCCTGAGCCTGCCTGAGCAGGTGCTTTAGTCAGCTGAACTATCTGGCTGGCCCTTGACTCCTTTTTTCAATTGTTTGTACTTCTTATCTTCTTAATTTCTTATACATTTCTTTACTTTTTTCTTTCATCTTTCAGTTTTACATGCATATATCTTATAATATGAATAACTGGTTGGAAGACAACACTATATATTACAACAAATACTGTGAAATTCATATTACTTTTTTAAGTGAAATTCTGTATCATTATGATTTTTCTGTTTTAATTTTGATTTGTATTTTCTTTAAAAAATAAAAATATTTGAAAATATAAAAACTATTTTTCTCTCCTTGAGTTATTTAAAGCATACTTGACAGTTGAAAGCAAAAGCTATGGCACTTTTAATATATGAAAATACAGTACATAGACATCATAATATAAAGGAGGGGGATAAAGGAGATTTTACAGCAGTAAGTGTATGAACTTCTACTTGTAGTGAAATATTAATTTTAAGCAGAATGTGAAACTGTTATGTATATCCTTCCTTGAGAAGCTATTAAAAAGGCTATATGAAGAGATATAGTCAAAATTGTAACAAAATTAAAATGAAATACTGAAAAACATCCTTATGATGCAAAAGGTGGTGGAAAGAGAAAACCAGAGAAAAGAACAAAGAATGATCAGAAAACGAGTAATAAATCAAACTGAATTCTTGATATTAGAAAATTCTGTTTTGTCTCTTTTTTCTTTTTCTTTCTTTTTTCTTGATGAGTTTTTATTTTTCTTCTTTTTTGAGACAAGGTTTACTATGCAGTTCAAGCTGGTCTTAAACTCACTTGTAGCCAAGGCTGGCCTCAAACTCAAAGAAATCCTTCTTCCCCAGTGTCCCAACTGCTGTGATTACAGGCCTGTGCCATCACTCCTAGTACCTGATTAGTCTTGTATGCAGTTTATCAATTTTATCTTTAAAAAAAGACCTTTAAGGGGCTGGGGAGATGGCTTAGTGGAATAAGTGCCTCCCTGGCAAGGGCAAGGGCCTGAGTTCAATCCCCGGTTCCACCAAAAAATAAAAATAAAAAAAAGACATTAGGCTTTGCAAATTTCCTCTACTGATTTTCTATTTTCCATCCCATTTCTTTTTCTCCCTACTCCTCTTTACAGTTCTTGTTACACAGCCCAGCTGGCACTGAATTTGCTATGTAGCCCAGACTACCCTTTTCACCCTCCTGCCTCAGCTTCCTCAAGGGCAGGATGACAGGTGTGCGCCACCAGTCTCAGCTAATTCCAGCCATTTCTGCACTGTAATGGTGGCTGCATTATGTCAACTTGAGAACGTTAGAAGTTTAATGGACTCAGCAGGGGGCCAGAGTCCTCACTTTGTAAACATCCTCATCCCGTGCAAGAGGAGGTCACGGATGGTGTGAGCGCTACACCTGCCCTAGGGACTGATAGCCTGCTTACAATATAAGGGAAAAAAAGAGGCATGCTCATCCCTCTTGCTGTCTTCTGCCACCTTGAACTGCTGCCCTCTGCGATACCACTCTGCCTTGCAGCAAGCCGATTATGCGCTGAAACCTCCACAAAATGGGAGCTAAATAAACCTTACTTCTTTAATTTGGTCATCAGATATTTTGGCTCAGCAACAAGAGAAAAGTAACTAAAACATACACCAATCTTTACTATTGTTTTACTTCTACTTACTCTGTGTTTGATTTCCTTTACTGTTTCTGGACTATTAAAGTGAAACTTTAGGACACTGATTTTAGGCTTTTCTTCCTTCCTAATATACATTTTTTTCTTAATGTACTGGAAATTGAACTTGGGGCCATATGTGCCTGCTAGGCAAGTGCTCCACCACTGTGATGAATCTCCAGTCCTTTTTAAAGACAAGATCGTGATAAGTGGTCTAGACTGGCCACAAACTTTCAACCTTCCTGCCTCAGCCTTCTAAATACCTAGGAGTACAGGCATGCGCTACAGTGCCCAGGTCTAATATACCTTTAAAAAAATCTTTTATTTATTTATTTGGTACAGGGTCTCATTTCACAGCTTGAACTTACAGTGATCCTCCTGTCTCAGCCTCCCCTGCACTGGGATTACAGGCGTGCACCACTGGAGGCCGGCTTGGTGCTGGGCCAGCACAGCATATGGTACTGGGGATCAAACTCGGGTCCTTGCATCTGCCAGGCAGGCTCTTAGACTGCCAAGCTATCTCTCTGGCCCTCTAATAAACATTTTAAGGAGGATCACTTGGAGTCTGAGCTGCATAGTGAGGCGCTGTATCAAGTACATAAAAAGGAAAAAAGAAAACCTTTTAAAGGCTGTAAGTTTCTTTCTAAATATCACTAAAGCTTCAACACACTGTTTGTAATTTATTACCTTTTATTATTGTTCAGCTTGAAATATTTTTTAATATCCCACATGACATCTTCTTTTACTCAGGTATCAGGTTATTTAGAAATGTGTTGTTAGGGCCACCCAAATAGCTCAGTGGATTAAAGCACCTGCAAGCAGGTGCAGGGGACAGTGTTTCAATCCCCAGGCCTGCTGTGCCAGCCCGGCCCCCGGGGCGCACTGAGATGGCAATTGAGACTGGGTGTGGTGGCACGTGCCTGTAATCACAGCCTTTTGGAGGCTGTAAACAGGTGGATCACTACGAGTCTGATCTAGCAGTGAGACCCTGAACACCCTGTAGACCATTCCCTAAAAATACAACAACCAAAAAAGAAATGTGTTGTTTAATTTCCAAATATTTGGGTCCTTCTTAGGTGTCTAATATTTATTGACTTGTAATTTAAGCCCATTATGGTCAGACAGCATATGTTGCATTATAAGATTTCAATGTTTTGAAATACAGGTGGTCTTCAACTTACCCAAGTTTTGAATTTTAATCTTTTCTTCAGTTAGTAATAGATGGTGCTATACTTTCTGGGGATGCTGGCCAGCAGTAGTCGTGACAGGTCCCAGTCAGTGATTCAGTCGCCAGGGTAAACAACGACACTTAAGATGGACAGCACTGCTGAATTGTGATGTTTGGTGAGTTGAATGTAGGAAAGCCAGTTTTTGTTTCTTTCTTTTTTTCTCTAACATGGTATTTTCAATTTATGATGGATTTATCCAAAGGTAACTATCCTAAGTCAAGGAATATTTATATATTGACAGAGACTTTAGGACCAAATGCATGGTCTAGTCATTGAGTGGTCCATATTAGTTGAAAAAACTGTAATTCTGTAACGGTTGGGTGTGGTGTTTTATAAATATCAGTTAGGTGGAGACGG